ACTTGGTCTTGTTGTCAGGGGGACTTAGTAGAACGCACCTAGTCCGAAGTCGTCTGCCATAGTAGTTGTCGAGTTGGTAGCACTCACTGATGATGCCTATTACGATGCCGGCGAAACGTTTGAGAATGTACCAAGTGATGCTGGGAATCACGACAACTACTATGGCAGACGACTTCGGATTAGGTGCGTTCTACTTAGTCGCCCTGACAACAAGACCAAGTTGCGATAACGAGATCAACCCACTTTTATATTAGTTTTTGTTTATGAGTGGGGCTACAAAACTACCAATAAATCATATATATGAGATGTGCTCCTCCTGTTTCGTTTAAGGTGATGATCAGAAAACCCAGCGGGACTCTAACCATGACACTGCAGGATATAATCTAAGCACATTGATCACTACGCCACATTTTCACAAGTGCTCTTGTATCACAGGACAGATGTAAATTTAAAGGTTGGCTGAACACTTTCCCATATCACATTCTGTGGTAGGAATTTTGATCAAGCGAACTTATATTTTTGGCATCAATTATTTCTCGTTCACAAGAAGAATTTTCAGACTACTAGTAAATCATGCATGCATGCTGTATTCAACCTGTTTCCTTTAACTTGATGAAGGATTGGAAGATGAATTTTCTCAAAATGATATCAGCAGATCTTACTTTTCCATTGAATTTCACATAGTCTTGCTTATCAAAAGTTATTCTCATCCAGGCAACGGTGAATTGCACTTTCGACCTGGCCACGGTCTCATAAGCACACAAGCATCTCGCCATATAATGTAATATGTGCAAATCCCTGGCATTCCTTGAAATTCACATCATTTTTTTGTGAGTCAAGGGCACTCGTGGCAATCTGATGCAGTGGCTTCCATATCGAAATTACACGCTGCGCTGTGATTGTTCGTGTCCCGGTGGGATGCTGATGAAAATTAGGCGAACAGAAGCTGCAGTTCACTTCAGCCTGGATGATAATACCTTTTGGCAAGGAAGGCTTTGCGAAATTTAATGGAAACCTAAGTTCTACTCATTTAATTGTGGGAAAATTAAACCTTCAACGAGATGGGGTGAACACTTTCTTAAAATCTTGAAATATTCACGGGCTGATTCACATATTTTTTGTCATTATGGCAACTCTTTCAGAGTGACGGACGTAGAACTACCGATACACCACTAATCTTTTGGAGACAGGAGAGATATTCACGAAAATTATACCCAGCAGAATCTTCATGTTATTCGAGATGCATTTTTCAAAGCCCCAAAAAATGAAGCATTTAATGTGCTGTCCAGTTCATGTAATCCTGGAAAATTAAAAATTCTGCCCCATAAATCTTCGTTTATCCCAATGCATCTATCTATCCATCATAACCAGGATAAGTTCTAAAGGTTTCCTTTTAGATGGATCCTATTCATGTGACTCAATTTATAGAAGGGGGCTCAAAGTGAAATAAAGAAATATCATTAAACATAATTAATATACCAACTATGAAGACATGCTCATATATTTCACATGTAGGAGAAACGAGCTCGGAAGATGGTGAACTATGGAAAAAAAGGGTCAAACTTGACTTGAGTTGAGCATAAATGAAGATGGCGAATGCGCAGGTTATTGGATTAATAAATGAAAAATAGAGCTAATAATATCATTTTGACGGTACCTGAATGGTGAAGAAGATGGCCAGCCACATGGTCCAGTCGAATGGGGCCAGGAAGGTCGTCAACGAAGTGAATCCCGAGGCCTGATACTCTCGTCTACTTATGAGTAATCCGATTGAAGTTGTCAGATAAGGCTTGGTTAGGAGTGAGGCGCTTGCATGTCCTCGGGATACAGTCATTTGATAGCCGGCCGCCAGATCGACTCCGTCAACAGAGAGCAGATCTATCAAAGGTGAAGATGCCTGTACAGCTGCTCGACCAGCGGTACCAACAAGACTTTCATTTCCTGGATTTTTTCGGGCAGAATTGTCTGAACGAAGATTTGAGGAGTTTACTCTCTGGTCGGGCTGAGGGTTATCAGCGGAGAGCACATTCAAAGCCTGTGTTTATTCAGGAAAGCAATTAAAATTGAGTATCTTCATGCTCATTATTGAAAGATTGGTGTTGGATTAATTTTCATTTCGTTTGAAGAGGCGACGGAAAGAGATTCGTAGTTTGAGCTCACGCGAATCCAAAGGAGCATAGCCTTGGAGTTATGAATTTCTTCGGGCATGGTGAATAATCGTACATCATTATGTCTTGCTATGACGATGCCCGTACCATGCTGGATGAAGGACCAGTAAGGTTTTCTTAGGGTCTTGAGACGGAAAGCACCAATTCACAGTCGCAATCCTCATTCGGCTTCCATGAAATCAACCTATGAATAAGCCCTTTCATTCGCCTCTTCAAACAAAATGAACAGTACTTTGATATAGATTTTTATACATTTTTATTGAACTGCTACTAAATAATTAGACTTTCGGCTCACAAAAAAGTGGCAAAGAACTCGGCTGAAAATCCCATATTATAACACACAGCAGTAGGGTGGGGCAATCCAGCAAGAAAAAATAGGTTAAAAAGGAGAAAAATATGGATCTTATTATAACATTTTAAATTATCCAATACTTCTTATTACCTCGAAGCTTATGGTATTCCTGTAAAAGGCGGAGAGATTTGTTTAATAAAGATTCGTGATTCTCTATGAGCAATTATATGACTTCTAAAAGTTTGAGTGAAAGAATGTATAAATTGGCCTTACTAAAAAAATTTCCTTCATCCTGCTACCCTGAAGGATCCATGCTGAGCTTTCGTTTTTATGTCACAGATTTAGTCAAAGAATGAAGCCATGCTTTGCATAAGTACCTTGAGCTGTGAGGAAAACATTAAGCAAATCAATTTGATCCACTTCATACACTCTGACTATGCCTAATTATTGACACATCTTCCTTGACGTTTTGGTATGTAAACTAGAATTACCATGAGCGTGACTACATAGTATTCAGAATTAAAATTCGATCAATATCTGAAAATCTTAATAATAACTATTTATATCATGATTCAATCATTTGATTGACAGAATTAGTGATAGGCTGTTGTACATATTTTGTCTTAAATAGTAAAATATGTTATTGGAATGTTGTTTTTCCACAATCGCGAATTGCAACAAATAGCCACATTCCACAATTAGGGGCTTAATCAAGTCATGAAGCAGTTCTAGTTCATAATATGTTGGGTTGGTAGATAAATTATAACTTTGCAGTCAGTCATTGGAGTAGAGAGTAGATAATTTCTTCGAAAATAAAAAAAGTTTAAAGAGTTTATTGAACCGAAAAATAGGGTAGTTTGCTCTTTCAGATATCTTAGTTAGTAAATTACGAACTAAATTGAGTAGCCGTGTTTATAGGAAACTAAAAATTAAGGATTCCTTGCGAATCTTGCTTACGAAATTAACGTAGGACTAATGAAATCCGGGATACTAAGGAGTCTGCAACTGGTATATTTTAATCATCTGGGAGGCGAGACCAAGCGGTTATGAAAGACTTTAATGCAGAACAATTATCCATCAGAATTGATTGGCAATTATTTGACAAAATCAGTAACTTGAATGGAGAGGAATAATTATTTACGGTCTGATTTCGACATTTAGTAAGCTCTCGAAAAAAATTTAAATTGAACATTTTGACGAATCTACAAAGAGATAAAAACACTCTATTCAGTAATAGAATCCTCTCAAGAATTTTCAGACCACCTCTCTAGAGTGGAGTATGACAAGTGATTAGGTGCATATAGAAAAACGTGTGAGGAGGAGGCCTACCAAAATATACCTAAGAGGCTATCTGAACAGAAATCAGCCAGCATTGGTTATGGATTAACTAATCAAAGCTGGCCCAAAATAGGGCACGATCAGGACACCAGATAGACTGGTATAGAGCAGTAGGCTCCGCAGGATATAGAAATTGTGAAATCGTATCATCTCATCTCATATTATATTATCTCATATAAACTCCTCTCATCTAATCTCATTTCATCTAATCTAATCTCATCTAATCTCATCTCATATTATATCATCTCATCCCA